CAGCAGCAAACTATAACACTAATGTAGCAGTCTTAAGTCGTGATACACTGCATAATGTTAGAACCAATCAAAATTAGCGCGTGGTAAAGGAAAATAAAGATTAAAGTTATTTTTATAAAAGGCTTCAAACATCTGTAGTATCTAACTCGTCGTAGATACGAGAATAACTGTACAACCATTATACGTTCGAACCTACCTGCTCTATAAATCACCACAACAATAAGAAGGAAGTTGAAGAATTCACTCTGAAGGCCTCGGAACTGCATTTTGTTTCAAAAAGGAAGATTCTTTTTAACCAGAATATTAAATTACTTACGAAAGAAAAGTTCCTCGTTAACGTTCCAGAAACACGATGCCTTTCGATAAAAGGTACGACCTTGAAAGAGCTTACTTTTAAATATTTCCCCCTTTGATTTTCATATTTTTATCACATCGTGAACACAAACACAGATTTCAAAAGCTTAAGGTTTAAATCGTTCTCGAAACGGTAGAAAAAAAATGCGTGAACTTACAAAAGAATAAAACTTCTACCACTAATAAATTCACCTGTTTTGTCAGTAGTGATTGTGCGCAACTAATTTTCCATTTTGTCTATCTTCTATAAGTCAAACCCCAATACATAATTGTGTCGGGGAAATCCAGTGTCTGTACTTCTACACATTTCTCGTTCAGAGTTGGCAGTTGTTGTTTTTTTAATATCCTACTCTGCTTGATACAGTGTTCAGCAGACCAAGTATGATTTCCGGTTAAATAACTTTCTTTGTGCACACAGTTTAATCAAATATAGACATTTTTTTAAAAGCTTCTTTAATCCCCGTATTAAAATCAAATAAATATACGATAAGAACAGTTAATACCAAAATCTATGCAGGTTTTATAATGAACTAACCAACTGTACTTAAAATTCTGTTTTAACCATGTACAAGACTGAGGAAATTGTACATAACAAACCACTACTGTGATACTGTGTGGTTTCACCTTGAGTTTTCATCTGTTTGCGCAATTCCTGAAAAATACTCGACTTCTTAATATGTTTATGTAACTAAATTTTTTTGAAGTCATATAGACCAATTCTTACTTCAATAATGCTTTACATATATATATTTATATCTCTCTACATTTGCACAGCAAAGACAAACATTTTAATGAACAATATAATTGTATACGACTCTGTGGTTCCGTTAACCGTAGAGAACAATTTTCACTAATTCTTTATATTGTCAACAGATTACAAGAAAACATCTCAGTTTATGTATGTTTGTTTGTTTGAAATTAAGCACAAAGCTACACAATGGGCCATCTGTGCTCTGCCCACCAAGGGTATCGAAACCCAGTTTCTAGCGTTGTAAGTCCGCAGACATACCGCTGTGCCACTGGGGGCTGAACTAAGTACTGATTCAACGCTTCACTGATTCTTGTATTTATAATGTATTCTTGTTTGTATATATTAATCGAACTTAAAAGTTTTGAGACGGCTTGACTGGGTAATGAAATAACTTTAATTTAAATATACGACGTTTCCACAAGATTTTGTCATACATTTATAATAAAGTTTTTTCATTACCCCGTCATGCCGTCTCAAAACTTTTATTTTCTAAGTTTTCAATTTATCAAGTTTCAGTCGAATTTGCTATATTTTAACCTGTCCCCCTGTGGGACAGCAGTAAATCCATAGACTTACATCGCTAAAATCCGGAGTTTGATTTCCCGTGGTGGACACAGCAGAAAGTCCAATGTGGCTTTGCTATAAAACAAACAAAGATTTTAACCTCATGTGCCCTTACATTAGTTCGTTTACATCCTTTTTTGTCTGACTTCTTTCATTTAAAAGTGTGAGATAAAGAAAGGATTAGTTGTCCCTGAACTTTCTGGGTACTCAATAAAAAAAAAATTCGGGCCAAGAGAATAAAATATTTTGGCACTTCGTAACTTTTGATTGACAGGGGAAGCAAATTAGATCTCATGCCCACTATTCAAAGATGTAGTGACAGAATGTTTGAATTGGTTCTTCAAATGTTTCAGACATGTAACTGCTTGGAATGGATTGACTCAGGAGCAGGCATTACAATGCCTGTTCCTGTGCCTCGACATTCCATGTCTAAGACCAGTAGCAACAAGAAAACTGGGATAGTCATTTGTGAGTTGCACCACCAATTGGACCCTATTGAGGATTGAGTGATTTAATGGGTTGAGCTTAAAGCACAACATATCAAGAGGACGTACTTGTGGAAAGTTCAATGAGGGATCTTCTGGTGAAGTAATGAGAAAACACACAGGTGTGAAAGACATTCTCACTTAGACAGAGGCAGTTTCCATCAAGATCTGGAATGAATAAGTAGCTCTGAGTCAGTTGCTGGAGAGGGGAACCTGCAGAGGCAATTGTAGTAACTACATGTTGGAAAGACAGCCCTACTAAGGTACCTCTACTATAAGGGGCTAGACTTCACCAAAAGTTATCCAGCCACTCATATACTCCCTGGTACTGTGATGCTATTACATTAATTCTACATCTTGGACAGCATTCAATATGGGAGGAGCAAAAAATCTGCTTCTTTTGCAGATTGGTAGCACTCCCCAGACTTTGCTGAACAGCAAAGATGATAGGGCTATCAGTTCCAGCTGATGGCTCAGCAGATCCAACAACAAGAAGTGGATGCTGTTATAAAATCAAACTTGACCACTGGTATGGAGATGCACATCAGACTGCTTACACCAAAGAGTTCAGTGGTCACCCCAGCTCTCTCAGGGCTGGATGGAGCGAAAGCTTCAGTTCTTGGTTGAAACAGGAGCAACAAAAACACTAGTAGGTCTCACAATATTCCAAGACCTCTTTGTGAGATCAAGCAATGGATACTGACTTGATTCTGGAAAATGGTGATATACTCGACATTGGTGGGAAGTTGGATTTCTGGAACTGTTTATGTAATACCACTCATTGGTTGAAGATATTCGTCTCTGATCTCAGATATGGCACTGATATGGTTGTACTGTGTAAATTATCCATCACATTCACCTCTGTGTCAGATGATCTGATGTTGGTCCGCTCAAGCCCAGGAACAATGAACTGCATGAGTGTATGTAGCAGATGGAATTATGATACGCCCATATACACAAGTGGTGTTTTGTAGTTTATTCTAGACAATATTCGTGCATCAGTACCATGTAACACAGCAATAGATGTCATGCATGAAATAAACTGCTTTCTCTCCGGAAAGCAGGAAACATTAGCTCAAACAGTCATGCTGACTCACCCAATGAGAACGAAAGAGCTGTAGCTACTTATCTGGTAATCCATGATGATCCAAATGAGAAGTCACTGGAAATAGATATGGCTTACAGCTCCAAGCATTGATCAGTCTGCTGTGGTCAACCTCCCAATTTTTTATGGGTGAGATTGATCATCATCTCTAGCTAGAGTGGTCAGATAGATTGCTGATTGAAATAGTGTCACAAACTTACCTTCTGAGTCATTAAGTGATATTGTAAGATATGATGTATACTATATTGTAGGGTTACCAGTTACCGCAGCTGTTTGGTCGTAAAAAAAAGAAAGGATTTTGTGACCATTACTTACTATTGGTTAGTGTTAACTGGAAGAATGTATGGACTACAATTTGTGACTACTATACAATCATCGACAACTAGCACATATAAGTGATTAATAATCAATGACTAAAAGGGTGTCACAAACTCTGGTTTCCAAGCCTCCAAATAGAGATGTGATATAAAATTTATTCACTATACTGTATGGTTACAACTCAGTCAGCAGAAGCTAAGATAGCTGGAGTGAACAGATATACCTAGTATATCAATAGTTTGCACAACTGAAGATGATAGCTAAGAGTTCAAAACTTTTTTTTGAACTATTAGGTGATATTTCATTTTACGATATAAGCATCACATTTTATGTTTACAACTTGATTTAGTTCGTACGTAAGGTTGATGGTATTATTGAAAATGCACTGTGCCCCTTGTTTTCCAAGCCACGTTGTGAATTTTCTGACTTGAAACACTGTCTGACGTTCAGAGAGAAACACTCCCATGATTTAGCTAAGTGGCGAAACGTCTATAGAACATATCACCCTTTTTAATAAAAGAGTTACCACAAAGGATCACATATAAAGGGTAATAGGCTTAAAATAAGACCCAAAACTCGAGCCCTTTCGAATAGTTGACTATTCTTCTTCAGGAGAGCATATCACCCTATACTTTCTATGCACATGTAAAGTATGCTGAATCTATAAGCAATGAGGGAGTTGTGTTTCCTCTGAACGTGTGACGAGATACAGCAATAAAAGCAAATATATCTATCCTGGCTTATTAGATTTTAACGTAAAAAGTCTTAATCCATCTGAATTTTGTCAATGGTCATTTATTTTACGATGCCTGAAATATAAATGAGTTACGTTTAAGTGCTCCTAGATGGCAGCACTTACACCGCCAAGACGTACCCTCGGAAGGGAACTTAAAAAGTTATTGAAGAAATTCGCGTGGGAGCTGAAAGCAATATCTTATAAACTACTGGAGTATTTGAAAAAGTGTTATGGTAATATATATATACGTATAACAATATATGTGTATAAATACATTTATGGGTTGAGTTGTTGCACACAAATATATGAACATTACATAAAGTCATTCTTAAGTATTTTATAACAAGAATGAATCAATTACACAAAGAACACAAGAGTAAGAAATGAGGGCAATGGAGACAAATGATTTGATCTTGACATTAAAAACTGATGAGTCTGAGGTTAACTTGGGTAACTGACCTGGAGAGTATTATTGAAAATACAGTGCACTTGTTATTTGCATCAACACTAGTGAAAGAAGGTTTTAATTTTGAATTTGAAATATTTGACAGGTAGTAAATTTTCAAGGAAGAGATGAAAGTAACAAAGAAAGAGAGAAGACAGTTTTTATCTCGGGTTTCTAATGACATAATTTTCGCTTGGTGTTTCTCGTAAAAAGTAAGTAAGATATATTTCAACTGGATTGAGTATAAATTTTCATGACTTGGTGAAATTATCATCAGTAAATGATATTCACAAAAATTGGCTTATATATATCATTACTGTATGCAGTGTTTTTAGTCATGCAGATTGAACTATTTTTAATAAGCACTTAGTTTTACTGAGTATTTTCTTAACGTTGCTTCATTACAAGATGTAGTATTAATTAAACCATAAAAATGCAGGCTATAAATGTACTATGGAAGGTAGAAATTAACATCCATGAAGTAAAACTATGTAAATTGTGCCTAAAACTAGTAAATAAGTTATAACGAAAGGAAGTTTTTAAGGAAAAGCAATTAAAGTACTGGTGAAAACTAATGGTCAAAAGTAATGATTAGCATTACTGGATCAAAATCAGATTGTGTAAGGACCTGTTGCAGCTTCGACCCTCATTCCTTTCTAATGTAACCAGGTGTTTTTTTGTTGTGTTTTTTTTTACACGTGAAACAGATTGTAGAAAGAACTTGCTATCTCTCATATGAGTCTGGACTTTCAGAGCTTGGATACTCTCAAGGTTTGACAAAGTTTTAGGACAGTAGATGAAGGATGGATCCCCGGATGATACTGGGTATGGAAAATGTAATGATTACCCAGTCCAGGATTTCCACCATGGCTTATTTTATTTTAATTTATTTGTTTTGAATTTCGCGCAAAGCTACACGAGGGCTATCTGCGCTAGCCATCCCTAATCTACCAGTGTAAGACTAGAGGAAAGGCAGCTAGTCATCACCACCCACCGCCAACTCTTGGGCTACTCTTTATCAACGAATAGTGGGAGTGACCGAACATTATAACACCCCCACGGCTGAAAGGGCGAGCATGTTTGGTGGGACGGAGATGCGATCGAGCTCCCTAACCACCTGGCCCGACCGGGACATTTATTTTGGCATTTGCTAATAATTTTGCGTTATTTTTTATGTATTTTGTCCTTTGTTCTTTCTTTATTTCCTTTTTATGTATGTGTATATTTGATGGAAATTATTTTCTTCATTTTTCACTAATTCCAAAATAATTCGTATTTGTTTGTTTTTTGTAATGTGTATATTTTAAATATAAGTCTTGTAACTTCTTTTTAAAATTATTTTTCTGTTTAAGAGTCTTTTATCCATATTATTGCATTGATTAAAAGTTAATTTTTTATTTGTATTAGTTGCTACTTTAAAAGTGTTTCATTGTTCCATTAATGTATTAAAAGGGGTTTTCTTTCATTAGTTGTTTATTAAGTCATATAGTATCTTGATTTTAAAGCATAGTTAAATGAGTTTCAAGTATTTAAATGTAGTTGTTTGTTAAAGGGTTTTCTAGTCCATGTGGTATGTAACTGTTCATAGGAACAAAGAAAAGTTAACACGTTTTTTGGCTATGTCGCAAATTTAAAGTTGATTGGTTTTAAAGCTCATTTTAATTGTCAGCTTAAAGTAAAGCCTGGAACAGTTTGTTTCTTTGTTTTTAATTATGCACAAATCTACACAAGGGCAATCTGTGCTCTGCCTACCACGGGTATCGAAACCCGGTTTCTAGCGTTGTAAGTCCGCAGACATACCGCTATGCCACTGGGGGGTGGAGGGGTGGGGGAGGCGCCTCGAACAGATATGAGGGGGAAAATGTGGCATGGAGACATTTCATTCATATATTTTCCACCATGTTTATTAATGTAGGCATTAAAAAATATATATATGTTTCGTCTGTTTCTATGATTTGGCCATAGGCATATGGTCCACAAAACTATCGAAACTGTTTCATTCTACCTTTGTTGTTATCTAGCAGATAGTATCCATTTTGCCCATGAAGATGTTCCTGCAACTTCACCCTTTGTGTGGAAATAAGTCGTTGACAGGCAATGTCATTCACTGGCCAAGTGAATGATATATAGAGGTACAGCTATTGTCTGTTATAGGAGAACAACCATTCACGTAGTAACGTATATCATACCTAAATAGAGTTGAAGTTTCCTGTTTCCTTAAGGAGTCCTGGTTCAGAGAGAATTCTGCTTAGTTTTCAACGTGAAATGTTCGCCAAATGTTCGTCTCGAGGAAAAAAAGCTGCAGATCTATTCGATGAACCAATAATAGGAGATTCTCTAAGTGTTCGTGCAAGTACGCACACTGTTTTGTTGTTGTTGTCTTATAATAAATATTATTTACACTTTACATAATGTGTCCAGTCTATTTATTTCTCACACAGCTCGAACTCATTCCTTTAGCCTAGTCGATCTTTCTGTTATAAAGTATATTTACCTATCTGGTACTTGCGCGGATACCACGCTGTTATCTGTTGTTGTTCGTTTTAATCATTGTTCATGCCTATTTATCCTGCTGTTGCTGTTATTGTTTTATTTGACAAATCTTCTCTTCTTAGTTTAAAATTTTGTTTTCTGCATTTCTTTATTAACCTTTTTCGTTAGGTATGTATTTTCATTAGGCTTAGTTTTCTATGCATACGCCAGGTGATAAGGGGCTCATGTTCCGGATTACCTCTGATTTACATATAAATGTACCTCCTCTTGCATGTTTCAACTTTGTTACCTGTGCCTCGTGAACTGCGTATTTATTGTACCGAGCAACCACCTGTAATGAGATTAAATTTGTGTAGATTTCATAATTATGTTTGTTTAAATATTATCTGGTTTTCTTTTCAATTGTACATATTTTGTTTTTAGTATATAGGAATAAATAGTTTATTTTTACTTGTATTTAACTTTAAAAACTCTTTTAAGCGAATTTTTGTAATTTAGTTTTTATGTCATCTAGCCTTTACACTGTAGTGTGAGTAAACAATACCCAAACAAATTATTGTGTTGCTTAAGCATGAATATACTATTTGTGAATTATTTAAAATTCATTAAGGATTATTACGGAAAAATTGCGTTTAAAATTATATTGTCGGCGAATATTATGCTTAATTATAATCTTGTTATAATCTTCCAAAGAGAAACACAGCATTGCATTTTTTTATGTCAGAAATATAACTTTATTTATTTGGTACATAATAAAAATAATTTAAAACATATTATACAAATGATACAAAGTTTGTTTTACTTATTTTGAATAGCTGATAAATGAGCACAAGTAAACTGAAAAGCGCATTGAAATTATAAAATAAATGCAAGTAATACTTCTAAGTTCATATATTACAGTTAAAGTAACTCGATGACGCAGAATTTAGGGTTTTTCGTATTGTAATTTAGACATAATATTTTTTATTGGTACTTATAATTGTGATATATAATTCCGCGTTATGAAAGACAGTTAATCCCATTATTCGGCTCAAAAAGCCAGATAAAGCCTTCTCGGTGCCGGATACTGCTGACTGTCTACCATCGATTTGGTCAGTAGCTCAAACTTAATGATAGCTATATATATAAGTTCCAAGGGTCTCTGACCTTGCCTTGTTGTTTCGCCTTCGTGTGTATGGTGTGCTGTTCAGATTGAAATTTCGAATATTGATAATACTTTTCACCCTGTATATAAAGTTAAATATATATATAAACTGTTTAATTAACTTTTCTATGATTTAACTCGCAGTATCAAGATTAGTTCATCTAATATTTTGTGGAAATACGACGAATAATTTGTTCTAAAACCTGATACATTTCAAAGAATGCCTTTCAATATTTCAGCAATTAGATACAACAGGCGTAAAAACAGAAAATGACGCTTTACATATTTAAAGTAAAAAATATTCATAAAAGTATCAAATTATGTTTAGCAAAAAATATACATTAATCATTACATTTAAAATTTATAAATTTATTCCAGGTTTTATTCAAAATCACATCCGTTGCGGAAATGGGAGTTAGATAGTGTTCCAAATCGAAGATAACTCAGACTTGTTTTGTTAGTTTTAACATAGCTTATGATTAATGTCTAAAATATTTGTTTGAACATTCAACGTAAGCTAGTACTTAAAATTGTATGAATATTTTGCAAAAACCAAAGATTAATTTATTAACGTTTTAGACACAAAAGTTTCCAGATACCATAACAAAGTTCAATTGTTTTTGCACCTTATATTTTACATTACGTTTTTGTGTTTAAATTATAATAGCTAACCTAGTAATAGTATTAATATTACTATATAGTATAACTTTAAACTAGCATTACCTAATCTAAATAACATTGACATAGCTTTATTACGCCTGAATCTGATAAAATGGCGTTTCAACCAAATAAACGACAGTCGCCGGACAATAAGCATTCGTCGTTGTTGTCACCCGAGGAAAATAGATTGGTATTTACTCTTCTTGGGAAAAGATGCACAGTGAGTTGATATTATTATTTTCTTTTCTAAATCTAATTGTATTTGTGGCTTACGTAAGAGGTATCACTCAATTTATTGTAACTACTACCAAGTATTGTAACTTATATTTTTCTTAGAATACTTAACAGCTGTAACTTGTAAGATGAGTTTTGCAACAATATTCCAATTTCCATCTGCACAATAACTTTGAGTTTGACGTCAATAAAATTATTGTATATTTTGTGAGTGATATTCCCTTCCCCT